ATCTCTTTGATTATGTGGTTTCCTTCTTCTTTTTCTGTCATCCTTCTCTCTCGGGCTCTTTCACTTCTTATTTCCCACCCTTCCCACCTCCATTTCCCCTTCTCTCAATAACGTGGACCCAGAGGAACAGCCCTTTCCGTTCTGGTGGAGACGTACCTGCAAGCTCAATGCTCCCACTTCCCTGCTTCAGTGGAGAAGGTGAGGTGGTCCAGCAGGTGTCTTGGGTCCCTGACCCAGCTGCTAAAAGTCCCGCCTCTTGGAGGGGTTGGGGCCTCCCAGGTGGCCCTGTAGATGCAGAGTATCTCAAGGGAGAGACAGGATGGCTCATCGGCCCGCGAGTGGACTGGCTGCTCCCAGCTCAGCCCAGGCTCTGCCCTCCTTCAAGGAAGTTTACCGTAGACTCTCCCTGCCCTGTTAAACAATCTCTCCAGGAAGGAGGAAGTTGGTCTAAAGTCTTGCCTCGCTGAGGAGTGGCCTGGAGCCTGGCCGGCACACAGGGAGAAGGGCTGTGCCTGTTCTCCTCCCCCCAGAGCTATCCTGGCCTCTGCAGGTGAGGTTTGGGCCGGGATCTAAGCAACTTAATCAGGAATGAGATACCACAGTCTGCCTTAAAAATCAACCACAAAACTCCCTGAAAAAAAATCTGACCCCATTCTGACAACCTCCCCAGACCTTGGGGACAGGGTGGGGCTGGTAGAGGCCTTGGTGAAGATGCAGGTCACCTGCTCTATGGCTCCGGACTTGGGTGGGGGCCTGGAGGAGCTGATGAGGTGGGGGTGGGGCCTGGGCAAGAACCAAAGGCAGACTTTGGGGGACAAAGGAGGAGGGACAAAGGCGACTGCAAGAGGTTGAGCCTGGATGATGGTAAAGAGGGACCCCTTGATCAGCAGTGAGGAAGAGGGAGAGGAAGTGGTTTGGGGAAAAGATTCTGGATTTGGGTTGGGGCACATTGGATGAGAGGCTAAAGCTGGAGAGAGAGAGGGAGGGAGAAAGGGAAAGAGGGATAAAAGAGATCGGTGGGTGGCAGATTTTAGTGTTTGTCACCCCTCTCTCTCCCTAGGACACAAGGTGCATTGGGAGAGGCTCTGTGCCCTGCCCTCTATCCAGCTCCCCCAGGCTTTGTCACAAATCGTGGTCCTCATCCCTGAGTCCCTTCCCCTTAGAATGAGTTCTTGGTCCTCAGCACAGGCTCCTGGGGGCTTCCCCCTCATTTGCTGACCCTGACTGTTTCCAAAAAGACGTGTGGCCCTCTTGGAGTGAATATCCAGGGACATGGGTCCAATAGCTGGTCAGGAAATAAAGAACAGGGAGTGGTCCCTGCGGGAGAGGTACCTGGGTGGTCCCAATCCTGCTGTTCGGCTGCCTGTCCCCAGGTAGGCACATGGGCCCCTGGGGGTGCAACCTGGGGAAGGCAGTGCTTTCCTGTGTCCTGACTGGTTTTAGGACAGGCCTTGTCCTCTGCCCCTCACCTCTCACCCTCCCCTGCTCTGCCTGGATGCTGCCTTGTCCTCATTTCAGAACTAATCTCCAATGTCACCTCGTCAGGGGGCCCCCAAGCCCCTGCTTCCCAACACAAACAAGTAAACAAGGGCTGGGGGTAAAATGGTTACCCTCCACCCTTCTAGTTTCTTTGGCTGAGCCAGGAATTAAACTGACGGCAGGCAGAGGAACAGGAGAAAAGGTATACAAGTCTATTACGTGCATAGGGGCGTCACAGGGAAGCAAAATGAATACCCCAAACCCAGTGAGATCTAGAAGCTTCTATGCCTTCTTCACAGGGAAGAGGAGGAGGGATGTAGGCAACTAGGGGAGAGTAAATGATTTCTGGGAAAGATGAGTGGGCCCTCAGAAGAGCAGGGAAGCCTGAGACAGGTCTGTCCAGGTGCGGTGTGGCCTTCCAGCCTCCTGTGATGTCAGCCAATCCCCCACTGATAAGATTCCCGGAGGGGATTGTGTTTCCTCTGGAGAATCTGTCTTTAGGAAGACACGAGGGGCTCAGAAAACCTCTCCCTGCATTTGCTGTTCCCCAACTGACCTCCGTTCAAAGTCCGAAGTGGCATATTTTGCGGTGTCATCTCTTGAACTGTTTTACCAGCAAATAATTTAACATTGCTAACTTCTGGAAAGCTGTGGTTCCCATCCCCTGAGTTCCTGTTAGGAACCGGGCCACACATCTCTACCTGAGCTCCGTCCACAGCCCCACTACCCAAAATTGTCTTCCATGAAACTTGGGCACTGGGCCTCACAGCTGGAGGTGAGTGGCAGCGAGTGAAGCTTCATCTGTATTTACAGTCAATCCACATCCCCCTCATCACAGC